CGGGTCTCGAACCCGCGGGCTCAGGCAATCCACTCACCTCAGCCTCCCAAAGCGTGGGATTACAGGCTGAGCCACCGAGCCCGGCTTCATACTGCATTTTATAGTTGAAAAAACAAGGCACTTAGAAGTAGGGTAACTTGCCCAATGTCACACAGCTAGTTAGTGGCTAAGCTGAGACTGGAACCCAGGTAACCTGGTCCTGAATTCCTTTTTCTTAATCCCTAGACAATGCTGCCCCTTTAAGACATGTCTCATGGAGCCCTAGACCAGGCCAAGGAAGGGTAGGTGGCACTCTAGGCTCAGCACCCATCCCACACAGGACAGCTCCACGTTTATGTTTCAGACCCTGGGCTTCTGTGAATGCTGTTGCTGGAGGCAAAAGGGAAGGAGGAGGAAGAACCAAGTTAACAAAAAGCCAGGTGTGATGGGAGGCTGAGGTGAGAGGATTGCCTGAGCTCAGGGGTTCGAGACTAGCCTGGACAGTTTGGTGAGACCTCGTCTCTACAATAAATTACAAAATTAGCCAGGCACAGTGGCACGTGCCTGTAGTTTCAGCTACTTGGAAGGCTAAGGTGGAAGAATCGCCTGAGTCCAGCAGGTCGAGGCTGTGGTGGCCATGAGCATGCCATTGCACTCCAGCCTGGGTGACAGAGTGAGACTCTGACTCAAAAAAAAAAAAAAAAGCCAAGGCTAAGGCTGGGTATGGTGGCTCATGACTGTAATCCCAGTTCTTTGGGAGGCTGAGGAAGGATGATCACTTTGGCCCAGAATTCAAGAACAGCCTGGGCAACATAGCAAGATCCCATCTCTACAAAAAATTTTTACAAACTAGCTGGGTGTGGTAACATGCATCTACAGTCCCAGTTATTCAGGAGGCTGAGACAGGAGGATTGCTTAAGCCCAGGAATTTGAGGCTGAAGTGAGCTATGATCACTCCACTGTACTCCAGTCTGGGTGACAGAATAAAACCTGTCTCTAAAAATTAAAAAAAGAAAAGAAAAGAGGTTCCAGAGAGCGCTCTTGCCTCTTCTGTCATCTGAGAGCACAAGAAAGTCAGACATCTCTGAGCTAGAAGAGGGCCTGACCAGAACCCGTCCGTGCTGGCCCCAATCCCAGGCTTGCAGCCTCTGGAACTGTGATAAATAAACATCTGTTGTCTGTAAACCATCTAATCCATGGTGGTTTGTTAGAATAGCCAAACAGACTGAGACACCAACCCAGGCTCAGGCCCCAGAGGGACTGTTCCCGCACAGCCCTCGCCCCCAGCCCACCACCGTCTCTTACCCTCTTCTCCGGGTCCAAGAAGATCTTAGTGTAAAAGAGCTGGTCGCTGTCGCTGTCCTTGCCCTCCCACTCAGCCACCAGCTCCCTGAGGTTGGGAGCGTAGCCGATGAAGCCTGGGGGTTGGTGGGAGGGACATGGAGACACAACTTCATTTCCAGCCACCAAGCCTCCCCTCCCACTCACCTCCACTCCTCTACCCACACACCCTGCCTCCTCTCAAAAGTTCTCCTGGGTTGATAGGAGGTGGGTGTATAGGCTGGAAATGGGCCAGCTAGTGAATGCCACTGACTGGCAAGTTCCCACTGGCTGCAGAGAGAAAAACCGATGGGGCCCACTAACCTGCACTACTCAGTGCTGGGCACCACATAGGTAGCGAAGAAATGGATTGGCCCAGAAGCCTATGGAGAGCAGAGCTGGCGGGGGGGGGGGTACAGGCTTGGAGCCCCTTTTTACGGTATCTGGGAAACACAATCCAGAGAAAAATAGAAGCTGGGCCAAGGTCATACCGTGCCTTGGGGCGGAGCCCTGGCATAGTAGGAAAAGCTCACATGGGCTCTCTGGCCAGAAGGCAGACTGGAGAGAGGCAAAGAGGAGGGAAATGGGACCCCGCTAGCTAAGGTTGAACAGAGGCTTGCAGATTTTATGTAGTGGGGCACCACTGAGTGATGTGTATGGCTCTGCATCTTTTTTTTTTTTT